AAAAAAAAACAAAAGCCAATAAAATTACCACACTTTTATTGAAAGTAACACAATAAAATTGGACAGAAAATATAATAATATTAAATATCAGTATATTATTTTTTTATTCAGTTCTATGCAACCTAATCAGATGTAACTTTTTTTTTTTTCAATTTATTTTTTTGGGATTAATTGTCCAAATAATGTATAGTCATTATAGTAATGAGCAGAGCATAGCATGGAGCAGATTAGTGAATGAGACGGTAGCGCCATTTTACCAGCATTGCCATGTTACAGCACATTTATCGCTACTGTAAACAGGAACAAGCACACTACATAGAAATTTCCTGTCCGCACATTATTTGAGTGGACTTTGCTTTTCTGGTGAGCATGAGCGGAACACACATTCATAGAACGGAATATTGAGTGAAGTGAACGACGGCTAGAGGGAAAGTGAAACCTGCGTGCTGAACATTGCTGGGTGGTGTGGTGCGGCATATATTTTCAGCTCATATTTTCGTCCAATCATTTTTGGCGGCTGAAATTTTGGTGCATCCCTACTAGGGGTGGAACGGTTCAACTTACTCACGGTTCGGTTTGTATCACGGTTTTAGAGTCACGGTTTCGGTATGGTTCGGTATGTGCTATGTTTAGGCAAAAACTATACTGTCAAATAAAAATAAAGAAAATAAGAATAATCTATCTAACTACAAGCAACAGCACAAATAAATACAATAGAGTAAAGATACAAATAAAATAAACAGTGATTTTCAGTTTTTTTTAAGTAGGTCTAACATTAGTTTTTAGGTACAGAAATTGAATAAAGTAATGAAATGTAAAACAGCATTGCATATTTGACTGTATAAATTAAAGATTAATCTTAAACCTTGTAACCTTAAAGTTACAAAAGCTATTCAATCAGGAGCAGTGAGTGATTTCTTTGTTGTTGCTGTTTGATTAATATTAAGAAAGTGCTGTCGCTTTAAGAGAATGCACTGATACAGTACGTTCAGCCGGCTATGTCTGCTATAGGATACTTACCAAAACGGGCACTTTGACATAATTTTTATGTGAATTTGTCCATTTAAACACAATACTTCAGAGAGTGATTAATATTTGCACGCATTCTGAGGCGCGGGTTTGCGCGCTTTGGATGAACACACGCACAAATCTTCTCACTGCACGCGCGAGCTTGCGTCCTCTGGCTGAGACTGGCTCTTAAATGTTTAAACTGGCAAGGTTTAAATGAGTTTAGCTTAAACACAGATATCAACGTGTGCTGTTCAGGTTTCACCGCTATCAGCACCCTGGTGATGACGGAATAAATGACGGCTCATATTCCAGCATACCGCATTCGCATTGAACAAGAGTGAATGGTTTGTCCAGGTTTTTTGTTTTTTTTTGTTTTTGTTTTTTCATCGCTGTTGTTGTAATGTATTGGGAAGCCAGAATGAGCATCCATCAACAGAAATATATGTTAGCCGAACCCTGTTTGTTTTACGTGTTATTTATAGCAAACCATATGACAGATGATGCGTTGTCAGATTTAAGTTGAACCGTGGTGCTAGCGCGTGCCGAACCGTGTGTGGAGAACCATACGTTCTATTTTTTTCCGCAAACCGTTCCACCCCTAATCCCTACACATAATCTGCTTGATTAAAGATTCTAGTACACTAACAACACATTTCTCACCTTATGGTTGAGTTTGAAGCTAGAATGATGTCAAAGATGACCTCAATAGATTGGAAAAAAAAACATTAATCCATTCGCCACTCTTAGTAATAGCAGCTAAAAAGCTTTCATACATCTGTAAAGGTCTGAGCAATCTACAAGATCTATTGTGGCTGAACGTACAAGGTAAATATTCATATATGGAGCCTGACGTCCTCATCCATTAAGATATTAAATGATGGCTATTAGTCACATTCTAGTACTCAATAAAAAAATATATATATTATTTTATTGTGGACCGGAACTTTGTCAGATGAGATGGTACTGTTTCTCATACCCGCCACAGAACCTGGGTGAAGTCCAGCAGGGCCAGCGGAGAGTATGACGGCATGCTAGAAGTGTACGTTTTGATTTTGGCATGCGGACCACCCATGTGATGCACCTTCTTGCCCTCGGTGTATTGTGGAAAGACCTCCAGACCAAGATCTCGAATAAGCTCCATGACATGGGTCTGCGAGCTACAGGACATGAAAATCAAGTAAATTACCAGTAACCGTGTTTCTGCACACATTCGGACATCTAAAGGCAGCCAGACGTCTGCCATAAATCGACTTTGTGTAAGCTGATGAAAACCCTGCTTGCCCTCATCTAAAGTGAAGGCTTTCACAGCCCCAGGCAACGGCCGTTTATTGATCTCGGTGGACTCTGAGAGTAGCTCTGGGTATTTTTCTAATAGTTCAGGTAGTGGATTACAGCAGTAAACATCTCGCTTGAAAACACATTTTTACTGCTTGTAGACTTAAACAAGCTTTTGGGATTTTCCAATTATCACATCTCAAAAACAAGCAAGTGTGGGCTAGTTGTCACAAACACTATCAGTAATCTCCTATTACATTTTGAATTTATAATTGTTTGTTTTACCTGCTTAATGGCAGGTTTGTAGTTCAGATGCTTAATAACCTTCTTAAAATATATTTTCTCTAAATTCTGATTGTCCAAAATCAAATATTTAATGAAAATGCATTTTTTTGTCAAATTTCCCCCCCCCGTTATTATCTTCGTTGTGTGTTGCCTGTTTAACAAGAAAGCATGTGCGTTTATGAATTTTAACAATGACTCACTTGCTTTCTTTTATGACACACTTCTTTGGAATGGAAATATAGGCTAAGTATTACTTCAATTCATATAATTTGAAGAATCTAGAACATAATAATAAAATGTAGAAGTTATGTGCTGCGGAAAGTATTTCTCAAGGCTCTGAAATAACGCACACAATTTACCCTCATTTGGCTTTCACCAGGTTATAATTTCTGACTCTGGTTTGGGGTCACACAACTATTTTGGTGTTTAGCCCAGTTGAGCACCGTGCCCCCGTCCATCCATATTTCAAACCGCTTGTCTTATGCTGGAATGCTGGAGCCTGTCTTAACGTTTTGGACCGTGGACAAGGAAATGTCTCCGGTTACCTAACGTAACCTCGGTTCCCTGAGAGGAGAGGAGGGAACGAGACACTGCGTCATCAAAGATGTCGTTTTGGGGGTTGTCCCCTCCTTCCTTGAATCTACTGAAGCCTTAGGAAATTTTGTGGGTGAGAATTCGCCCACCAATGACGTTCAAGCACGCAAAATAGAGGCAGGCTCCCCCGAACTATAAGGTGGCGCTGAACGCCATTGCCTCTTTGGACTGTAGCAGAGCGCAGCTGACAAAATCACAGTGTGCTGGTGGCCAAATAATGAATGTGGCAGTAACACAGACACTATTGCATAATGTTACAACCAGTGGTTAATGGTGGCAGTCGTGCCGGCACCTGATGTCCGGTGCAATGGTGATGCCGGTGCTGTCATGAACATAATGCACACAGGGTTAACACCATGCAGATGAACACGAAGGCAGCAGTAGCACTGGTGCTAATCCCCAGTCAGTATTTACACGACTTAGTCGAACGCTGCCAACTGGGTGGGGCTGCAACAGTTTAAGACGAATGCTGAACCTTGATTTCAGCTAGTTTGATTCCTGCACGGACAATGCATGCATTGCACAGAACATTCAGGCTATAATAACACGTATAGGCTATAGCAACATGCATAGGTGCCTCATAGCCCACCTGACAGGTTTTTCCGCAAAGGTTACTACCTGTGTGGGAGAAACCAACAAAACGATGATGGATTCATGTTTGTGCTTTTACACTAAATGACCTAGTTGAACACCACTTCGCAGGGGCATCAACAACTGCCGTAATAGTCCACATGACCTATTTGACACCACCCACAATCTCAGTTCAATTTGTAAACATAATCCTCTTAAAAAGGCAAACCCACAATGCGAGTGAGGAAACATTCAAATCACAGAACTGACCAGAGTGCCCAGCACGAGTTTTGTAGAAGGGAGAGAGGTGATCAGCCTTCTCAAAATTCGTATTGACAAGACATTTTGCCGGGTGACTATGATGGTGTCATGCCATTATAGTGGTATACTTAAAACAAAGAGGGCATACAGTCGCTGTCCAAGTACTCTTGTAAAAAGTCAAGGCGACTAACGGGCTATATGACCATGAAGTAGATATATTTCAGGCCCACTGATATAATCCAGTCCCCTGGCCAAACCTGTATGATGGTCTGTCTTAATGCGCTCACTTGAATGCACATTTCAATAGATATATTATGACTTAATGCACTGCACAGCGGAACGATCCGGACACAAAGGCCATTATAGTTCCTGTCTCCCGCAACGAGCGGGGGATGTGAGAACAGACATAAGAGACCTGACAGTCTCGCCTTATGTGTGAGAGCACAGCAAAGGACTCTGCCAAAGCCGCAGCCATCAGCCTGAGTGCTTCCTGAGATCTCTTAAAGGCAGAAACTTCTCAGCTTGAAATGAACAGAAATATAAGTTACAAACTGTGAGTGCCCCTGTGAAACGCGAGCTCGCATCACAACAGAGCCCAGTTGCACACTGCACATCGGCCTATACGACCTAGCTGAAACACACGCCAGAGAGGGACATGGCCAAGAAATCTCTCAGTCATCCAGTGGCTGCTCAGCCATCTTCCCCTGCACAAACAGAGCATGCAGTGCAAAAAAGGGGAATTTTCAGGTTATAAAACCTAACAAAAGCGTTTTGCGAGGACCAACCCGCCGCAAAACAAATATCCTGAATGGACATGCCTTAGTTCAAATCAAGATGACGCCAGACTCCTCGTGGAGTGGAGACGAATCTCTATCGGGCAGTCGAATCTACGGAGCAACATCAGAAACACTCGTGATGCTCTGAACATAGAGGCAGGCATTCTCCAAATGCACTGAAATAACAGCCCTCCGGCCAGCCTGCGAGAGGATCTGTTTCTGCATGAGTAGTTCGGGGGAGCGTTCTGATAATGCACTCTTGGGAGTCCCCGGAAGAGCATGTCACACCTCCGTACAATCCGACATGGACAGAAGAAATTCATGCTTTTATTTGGAACTTTATCTTACCAGAGAAAAGAGTTCCAATACAGAAGATATTTCTGTATTCTGTCTTACAGCTGTCACAGTCAGCTGGAACAGTCATTGCTCAAAGGCAACTTGTTTTTGATTACAAAAAACGGTGTTTTGGCCACGATCATTCTCTGGATTCATTGCTGGCTCAGGCCCTTTGCAAAGGGCTGAGGCGGGCCTAGATAACAGTCGCGTAGAGTGAGTGTAGAGAGACATAGTGTTGAAAACAGCGTTTTAGCCAGTGCATCATCATATGAGGGCTATGGCGGGGGTGCCCGCCTCTATTTCACGTTCTTGAATGTCATTGGTGGGCGAATTTTCGCCTGCGAGATTTCATAAGGCTTCAATAGATTTGAGGAAGGAGGGGATAACCCCTAAAGCGACATCTTCGATGACGCAGTGTCGAGAGACCGACTCGAAAGGGAACACTCTGGACAGATGTCCAGTCTATCACGGTACATTCACACAGGGCGTCGGCGTAAACGCTTCTCATTTACTTTGAATGTGTGACATCATGCGTTGCCGAACTGAACTGTGGGTTAGTCGGCGTCGTGTCACTGATGTTGCTTGCGGCAGAAGTTTCAAATTTCCTAACATTTCAAGCGCCAACGAAGGCATCAGCCAATCAGATTGCCTTATGCAAATACCCTAGCTCAGGTGCTAGCCAATTGCGGTCTGTGTAATTGGCTGTTGTCAATATGATGATTGCGTCAGCGCCAAGCTTCAGGCACGCCCTATGTCAAGCATTGACGCAGACAACCCATGTGAATCTAGCGTTGCAGAGATAACACACACACACACACTACGAACAATTTAGTGTCTCCAGTGCTTGAAGTGGGCCGGTACGCAGTACCAGCACTTCTGACATGTTGCCGGTGTTATACCCAATTTCGACCCCAATGCCAAATTATTACCCCCCTCGTTGAAGCTGCTACCTGATTGCCTAATCCTAACCCCACCCCTAATCCTAACCTCTGCCCCACACCTAATCCTAAACCTAACAATACTAGGGGGTAATAATCTGGCAGGGAGTAAGAATTGGGCACAACACTGGTACTGAGTCAAAGCGTCAGTGTCTGGGTGATTAGAAATGACACTATAAAGCACACTACCCAGGAGGTCATTTGAAACCGGTAAACTTCTGGAAAGTTCAAGGATCCAGTAAGGGAATGCATTAGTAATAAGTAATAAGTTCAAAACAGCGCTAATGCAGAGAAAACACGGACGAGTTCATCGAGAGAATAGTGACTTGCGTCCAGATGGCAGTAAATTATTCTTTTCAGCATGTATTTGGCTTAAAAGCATGAGTGTTTTATAATGAATGCCGGCTGAAGGTGTTTTAGATTATGCGCTGGTCAGTGGTTTAGTTATTCTGAACGGATCCGTATAGTAGCATGTACAGTCAGGTTAAGGCAGCAGGTTTAGTGGTCTTTTGACGTCTCCCTGTAGTCCTGTTTATGTATCGCAGCTTAACTGGTGCTTATTTATATTCAAAATGCTCTAAACTATTTTCTTTCTTTCTTTCTGCATTATATACATACTTATTTTTTTCCACGTCAAGCACTGAGTGTCTCCAATTAACGTATCATGTCTTTGGACTTGGGGGAAACCGGAGCACCAGAAGGAAACCCAAACCAAAACGTAGAGAACATGCATGAGCAGATTTGTAGTGATTTATTTTTGTTATTTGACGTAAAGAATCGTATTGTGATGTGAGAGCATGAAACAGAGCCTGAAAGCTTGTGTTACCTCTGCATAAAGTGACATTAAAAACCCTGAAATATGCAATTATAATAACAACAGTTATTTAATAATGAAAAGCTTACCTGGACACCCACTGTCCCCCCATGTCCCACTGGTCAACGCCATTCGCAGCTGGCAGGTTTTTACTAACAGTTCGTCCTCCGACACGGTCTGTGTGCAACAAGTAACAGTTAAGAAAAACATGTTTGTGTTTGTATAGCTGTGCAAGCAGACTTGTATAGTTTATTAAGAAGAATATCTAAGCACCTCTGGCCTCCAGAACCAAGACGCTGAGTTGCGGGTTTCTCTTTTGCAGCCTGCGAGCCGCGCTGAGTCCGGACAGTCCCGCGCCGACTACAACTACGTCAAACTGATCCTCACTCATTCTTGTAGCGGTTTGAGCAAATAGCACAATGAAATCTGTTGCACGGGCGAATAGAACACCTCGACTGTCCTGCAGAGAAACTGCAAAGCCAAGAAAGTTGAAAGTTCGTCTTTATTATGCACACTTGTTGCTGCCATATGAACTTGGCACTTCGCCCCGATAAAGCGGATCGTTGATTGTGGTGGGACACCGGAAGATAGGCTAGGCCTACTTACTCAGACCTCCCACTTATGTTCAAACTGGTCATTGTCTCAAAAAGTGTTAAGTAGCCTATTATGTAAACCCCCCAAACAATTTAAACAAAAATGTGTATTTAAACAGAAAATAAAACAATGTATATAATAAGGCAACTATGAAAAACAAAAGATTTTATAACAGCAAAAATGCATTTATCACACACACAACATGCAAAAATGTAAAATAATTGTTTTGGGCAACAGAAACTGTAATGAACCAAAAAAAAAAAAAAAAGGTGAAAAATTTGACCTATAGGGGTACAACAATTTTTGCTAACTTTGTTCTGAATAAATTGCATACATTTATATTTAAAATAGCCTATATGTAGCTCAAAATGGCTGATATTTACCACATGCATTGTTTAACTAAATGAACAGCCTACCATCCTTTGACCCAAACAGTGTTATTTTGTTTATTTATATTTTTTAGGAAACATATTTCTTTTCCCAACAGCATTTCTGAATTGCATAATTGCCATCTGTTGACCATCCGAGTCTCACGTGTGAAGCCAAAGTTGCCGAAGCAACTGCTAAATGTCCTAAATGTATGCATTTTTCATGATGTTTCATTCTCAGTTTAATTTATGTTAATAATTCTCGTTAGATTCTCAAAAAGAATGGGCATAAGGTTGCAGTGGCCTATTTATGTCAGCATGAGGGAGCCTGACTGTTCTTTGTAAAGGAAGGAACCACCTTTAGATGGACTTTCACTGCATGTTAGCTTGGTGAAAAAGCACTGTGCATAGAAAGAAAAAGAAAAAACTTGTCAATAAACATAATTGCATTCATTGTCAATAAAAATTGCATTAAATAGTTGCCCTGCATGTTGATGTACTCAAATTTTCCAATAATTTATTATTCTGTTCTTTGTTTTTTTCTGAGTGGAGTAACCAGTTGTCACCTGAGACCAGACTCTGTGGACCACATCACCATGGCACCACCTTCACTTGATACCAGAGGTGACTTGTTGTCTCACAGTGGAGCCATTCAGAAGGTGAAGTGCATGAAGACTAAATCAGAGATGAACTAGCCCTCAATGTGTAAGTCTCTATGTATTATTGCAGATATATAAGTGTTTTTATGGCCTATTTTCTAGCTCAGATAAACGTTTGCATAGTGGAACCTGTTGTTACAGTCGATCAACATAAGAGCAGTCAAAATGTTTCTTCTTGTGTTGTGTAATGTATGGTACGGGATAGATTTGGCTGAACAATGAGGTTACAGACTCTCAAAATAGTGTTGGAGGAAGAATGGAGTGTGTTACAAAAAGAAAAGCAACAAAGATGTGTTCTTTTCTCTCACCACAGCGAAGTAGATAAGAAACTTTTCGCTTTGTGATTGTGAAAAATGTCTTCAGGTCACAACAGGTGTGTATTTTCGACTTGTTATATGGTATAATATTTTCCAGGTTTTGTGTCCTATTTTTGTTGTTTATATGTAAGATACATGTATACTACCATTGGAGTGCTTTATAACAAGCTGGAACATTTTGCATATTCATTAAGTTATGAAAACATTATTTTTTATGTTTTCTAAATTTTTAAAATGTCTTCTTCTTTTTTTTTTTTTTTTTTGCTGTGTTCCAGTCATTTTGACCCGGAGAGGATTTTATTTTCCCCAAAAATGCTAGTTAATGTTATCACATTAGACTAAAACCTTCTATAATTTTGGGGATTTCAACAACTTATCAATAACTTTTTTGGGATTTTTTCCCAGCTCAGATAAATGAGGCCTACGACCAATCAGTTTCAGTAAGAAATACAAAACCTATGCTAATTAAAATAAATAAAGATAAATAATCCAAGATTTAGTGACATATAGCATAATGAGAGATTTACAAGCCGTTTTTAAAAGGCTGATAATTTTTGACTGGGGACACCAAATTAGGTAAATAATTTTTGCACAGCACAAGGGTTAAATGTTTTAAAAATACTTTACTTGGTTAAACAAATGTTAAAGGAACATTCTGTTTTATCATTTTGCCAACATTATGGGAACGTTATTGAATGGTCATTCTAATCATTCTGAAACTAGTAACATTTAAAAGATATTAGACAAAAGCCCAACTAAAATGTACATTCCTTTTGCAATGTATACATAACATTGTTGTGCTAACATTTGAAGAACATTATAAAAGACCAGATAACTTTAAATGGATATTCTAACAAACATTACTGGAAGAATGTTTGTTCATAACTTTGAGAGAAACTTGTCAGAAAGTTCTGAAAATGTTCCCTGTTAGATGGGTAGCATCATTTTGTGACAGACCATACTTCACAGTAATTTTGAGGAAATTCACTAGTAAAGTGACACTAAAACATTTTTTGATGCTTAAAATATAATAAAATAACAAACTGAGATCCAACAAAGACAGAACTGATCATTAATTATTGGTGTAAAATATGTGTCCTTTTTGCAGTCTATTTTCATTTCTAGGCTCAAGCGTGTGTCTTAAAAACTTCAATCAGCTGAATGGGAGAAAATGGCACAAAGAAAGTTGTCCAAACATGACTGTACAAAAACACTGCTGCAACACAAGGTACTGTGTGTTAAAATTGAAAGTTCAAAATGTGGTACCCAGCAAGACATACCCATTATCTCCCTCACAGTCACTTTCAGTCGTGCTCCTTTTCTCTAGCTTTCGCTGTCTTTTTACTTCAATCTTTCACAGATGTATGAAACGGCCTTGCGTGAGACTTACAAGTTTGTCCCCGTCGTCCTCATTTATGATATTGACTGCGCTCGCCATGCTTTTTCTCAAAGCAGGTAAGTTTCTTCGCAAAAAAAAAAAAAAATAATAATAATAATAAATGTAAAAAAAAAAGGATGTACTCTGAAACTTGAATTCCAGCACATTCTATCAGGTTAATTTGACATTCTGCTCACAACACAGCTAAAGTTCCTCAATCAGGCCTGAAAGTTTCCCTTCATCCAATCCAAGTATGATGGGATTTATTCACAATCATCTGGACCAAATCCAGATATTAGTCATTTGGAGAGTTTCATTATATGAGCTCATATGAATCATTCATGAGTGAGCACCAGGACAGACGATCAGCATGAAACCAGGAGTATGAGGGATTTTGAAATTACAGGCTAATTGAAAATGATCATCCTCAGACTTGGAATGACACCGAAAGAATGACCTAGAAAGAGCAGAATAAATCGAAGACTAGTTATGCGTATAACTTATTTCTGACTTGAAGCTTCACTATATCACATTTAAAAGAAAAGTGTATTTTTGTCTTATAGTTTGTTGACCAACATTATGTATTTACAGTTACAGTTTGAAGATGTTTGTTGTCAGTAATTCATAAAAAGAGACAGCTGGCATTTTCAAGCCATGGATTTCCTCTGAAATCTTTTTTTAGAATAGCAGTTTTCAATTTATGTGTAAAAATAAAGTCTGTGTTTAAAGTTACTTTTATGTTCTACAATATAAAATGCACAGAGTCATATCTAAAATGTGGATTTTGGAACCATTGTGTGCTAAGTTGCTATTAACTACACCTACCACAAGAACTACAACTACCACAAGGATGTGAGGTTATGTCGTAGTCAATATATAGCAACAAAATTCATATTGTAGATTTGACTGTAATATATGAAAGTCAATTTCCTTCACATAAGAAAAAATAAATAATTTTTTCATAAGAAAAAGTCAACATTATAAGATACTAAGTAATAATGAAATTGAAAAATCATAATTATGACATAAGTCAAAGTTATGACCGAAAAAGTCACATTTAATCTATCATAATAATAATATCATACACCCAGCGCAATGCGGCGCAAGGCGCAGCGCAAGTGTTTTTGCTAGTTTCAGCCCAACACAGTTCTCATTTTCCCGTCCTGCGCCGCGTTGTTTAAATAGCAAATGCATTTGCGCCCATTTGTGCGCCCATGGGCGTGCTGGTCTAAAAAAAAAGTGGTGTGTTCAGGCGCATTACTGGCGCGTTGCTAATTTGAGGAACTGAAAATAGACTGCGCCATAGACCATATGCGCCTATAGGCGGGTGCACAACGCGCATACACTTTGCTTATTACACACACAGGGACGCGCAGCAGCACACAAACATTTAAAAAAATGAAAAATTACATTCCGCCATGTAAATAGCGAACCCGCCATGGCGCAACCTGAGTGCACCTGCGCCGTGCGCTTTAGACCATGCGCTTAGATCGTTAAAATAGGGGCCTATGAGTTTTTATGTAATATGAATGACTTTGGGCCCTATTTTAACGATGCAATAAACCAATCAGAGTCTCATCTCCCATCCCCTTTAAAAGATCTGTTCCCTCACTAGAGAAGCGCTCAGTTTTTCCGCTTGTAAATTCCACCATGTAAATAGCGAATCCGCCATGGCGCAAGCGCAACTGGCTTTTAAAGGGGATGGGAGATGAGACTCTGGTTTTTTTATTGCACGTTACGCCCAAAAAACACCCATTACTCATTAAGAGAATAGCGACAACCAGTTTAGACCATGCGCCCGGGTGCGCCGACCGTCCTTAAAAGCGCCAGACTTTAGACCAGGTTTGAGTTGGTCTATGGCGCAGTCTAGTTTCAGTTCCTCAAAATATCAACGCGCCAACAACGCACCATGAACACACCTCTTTTTTAGACCAGCACGCCCATGGGCGCACAAATGGGCGCAAATGCATTTGCTATTTAAAC